AGCTATTTAAAAACTTCTGGAAGGGATCATTCTTCCAAGTTAAATTTTTAAAAAGGATCACAGCTCAGCAGTTGGTCTCTTGGGTGGTGCCTTTCTCCCATCTCTCTCTGTGGATGCCACTCTGAGTCACCATCGTCATCATCACCACATGCTTTTGGACTGCTTGGTGGGTAGCCCACAGCCCCACCCCTCTTTAGTTTTTTTTTTAAGGTATAATTGATATAACATTATATTAGTTTCTAATATACTATGCAATGATTTTATATTTGTATATATTGCAAAATGATCACCACGTTAAGTACATCTGTCATCATACATAGTTACAAAAGTTTTTTTCTTGTAATGAAAACTTTCAAGATCCACTCTCCTAGTTATTTGCAAATATGCAGTGCAGTATTAACTACAGTCACCGTGCTATGCATTACATCTCCATGACCTTCATTTTATAACCAGAAATTACAAACCTGGAAGAGGTCACCCTTTACCCATTTCTCTGACCTCCCTGCCCCCCACTTCAGGCAACCACCAATCTGTTCTCTATATCCATGAGCCTATTTTGTTTTTTTGTTTTTTAGATTCCACATATAAACGAGATCATATTTATCTTTTTCTGTTTGACTTATTTCACATAGCTCTTCTGAACTTCCGTTTTACATCTTTAAAATTGGGATACAATAGCATTAGGATTGAGGGTAGGGATTTGAAGGTATTTGTTAGTATTATTGCTGGGAATGAGTCAATCAGTCTGTGGATGGATTGGCTCATCTATTAAACCAACCACTAGTTAGTGAGTGCCAATTAAATGCTAGGTATTGTGTTAGGTTCTGAGTTTATTGTGGTGAACAATACAGTAATCTCTAGCTTCCTGGAGCTTAAAATATGGAAGGGAAAACAGACTCCAAATGAAAGAAAAGCAAATAAATTTAGAAACACCAATCACAAGTGTTCTTAAGATAGTGGTGGGGAGGGGCGCCTGGGTGGCTTAGTCGGTTAAGTGTCCGACTTTCACTTAGGTCATGATCTCGCAGTTTGTGGGTTCGAGCCCCGCATCAGGCTCTGTGCTGACTGCCAGCTCAGAGCCTGGAGCCTGTTTCAGTCTGTGACTCCCTCTCTCTCTGACCCTCCCCTGCTCACGCTGTCTCTCTCTCTCTCCTAGAAATAAATAAAACATTAAAAAAAAAAAAGGTAGTGGTGGGGAATGCCAATGGAGACTGAACGACTGTCTCAGATCTCGTAAGTCAGAGGAAACCCCTCTGATGCAGTGACATTAAGCTGATACCTGAAGAGTGAGTCTCCCAAGCTTCATCCCCTGGAGATTCCCAAGAAATTATTAACGGACCCTCACATCAAGATAAAAGATGCCCAGTTACGTTTGAATTTCAGAGAAGCAACGAAAAATTTTTAGTATGTTGCTAAATATTGCATGGAACACATTCATACTAAAAATTTCATTGTTTAACTGATACGCAAATTTAACTGTCTTTTTTTTTATGCACTAAATTTGGCAGTTTTATCCAAGATATTCCCCAGCCACCCTCTCCTGACTTACTTCCCATTTTTTCCCTCCGTACATCTTATGCTTTGTCTACAAGGCATGTTCCAACATCTATGTCTTTGCTCATGCTGCCTGGGTCATCAGTCTCCCACCACATCTTGGTTAATCCTTCTCATCCTTTAAACCCCAGTCCAAAAGTCACCTTCTCTGGGAAACCCATTGCAGGGTGCTCAGCAAATCTGGTTCTAAAAGGGTTTTGCCTTATGATTCTAGGTTTCAAAGCCTGGTCTCTAAAAACACACAGACAAGATGGGATGTCTGCAAAAGAAAGGATATAGGAATGATCTCATTTCTCCTGCCTCTCTGCCCCTCTAATTCCCACTGAACTCCATATAACATTAACAGCAAACATTGATGGAGCACTTTTCTGTGCCAGACACCTGCTAAGTGTTTTGCATGCAGCATTTTATGTAAATTCCCCATAATCTTACAAGGTAAATTCGATTGAATTTCCACTTTGCAGGCAAGGGGTTCAGGCACGTAGAGGTGAAGTCGGCTGGCTGATTATGTTTCCACAGCTGTGAAATGAGGATCGTAATGCTATATTCTCATTAGGTTTTCTCCTACTAGCATGTGGGTTTCAAGAGGGCAGGAAGTTTTTTTTTCACACAAACTTCTAAATCCTCAGAACCTAGAATTGTGTCAGGCATTGAGTAGGCACTCAGCAAATACTTGTAGAATGAATGAGTGGGTCACTATATAGAGGAAGAGACCACAAATTAGAGAGAGAAAGTAACTTGCGGGCAGAGTACACAGGTAGATGTGGTGGAACTTTGAGGAGAACCCAGTGGTGAGTTGGTAAATGTGTAACGACAGACTCTCTGAAACATCAGTAACTCTGTAGCATTTGTCTGTAGCATTTGTTGATTTCCATGGTGTAAATACTCCCACTGTGACCAGCCTCAAGCAACCAACCTGATGTCAATCAACTTGAAAATTTCCTGAAAATTTAACCACAGGCTCTTGCTGACCTGTTTATACAAGCTAGCTCCCACATACCAAGTACTGGGACATAATTCTAAAGGGTACACAGTTCCAAAGGGTGCCTTCCACCATTACTCAGCTTCCCTCCTTGAATAAGGTCCAGTCCATACCGCTAAGTGAGGGGAGGTGGGGAGAGACACCTAAATAATTTGATTCAAGGCAGACTGCAAATGTGATTCTTTAAAAACACAAACCCAATCACAAAGCTTTCCTGCTTAAAGCTTTTCAATGTTTTCCTAATGCTCTTAGCATAAAGCTCAGTCTCCTTACCTTGGCCTGTGAAACCTCCTCCTGTGTCAGGCACTGTATCAGGCTTTTTGTACAAGGATATAATGGTGAACACAACAGACACAATTCCTGCTCTCATGGAGCAGTAAATAAAGCCTGCCAATAAGCAAGCAATCAGCCATTAAGTAGAAATATTACAGATGGAGAAATATGTGTCATACAGGAGGTGATAGGAAAGAGAATAATGAGGAGTGAGAAGGGACTGCCTCCTTGGACTGAAGGTGAGTGGAGGAAGGCTACTCTAAGAAAGTGCCCTTTGAGACCTGAAGGATAAGAACAAGTTGGATTGAGGTATGGGGCTGGTGGCCAGGCAGCAGGAGAGAGGATTTGACACCTGCATGAAAATAACTTCTGTATAATTGGACACAAGCGGAGGTGGGGCAGGGAGGCTGGTTAAGAACATTGCTGTGGTCTGAATGTTTGTATCCCACCCACACCCATAAATTGAAGTTCCAACCTTCGAGGTGATGGTATTAAGAAGTGAGTCTTTCAGGAGGTGATTAGATCACAAGGGTGGAGCCCTCATGCATGGAGTTAGTGTTTTTGTAGAAGAGGTGGGAGAAGCCTCCCTTACCCCTTTCCTCCATGTGAGGACGTAATGAAAGCACTATGAACCACAATGCAGCCTCACCAGACAACGAATCTGTTGGTTTATTGATCTTGGATTTCCCAGCCTCAGAACTGTGAAGAAATAAATTTCTGTTGTTTGTAAGCCACCCAGTGTAAGCTGTTTTTCTCACAGCAGCCTGAACGGAGTAAGGCAAATATCATGGATGGGAAGGTCAGTGGCTAAATGGCTAAGAAGACTAAGAGGAAGCTTTAGCACCCTTTTAAGATAGAGCCTTATTGAAATCCCAGGAGCTCAGATGCACTCTTTGTTTTTTGCTTTTTTGTTTTTTAATTTTTTTAATGTTTTATCTATTTCTAGGAGAGAGAGAGAGACAGTGTTAGCAGGGGAGGGTGAGAGAGAGAGGGAGTCACAGACTGAAACAGGCTCCAGGCTCTGAGCTGGCAGTCAGCACAGAGCCCGACGCGGGGCTCGAACCCACGAACCGCGAGATAATGACCTAAGCGAAAGTCGGACGCTTAACCGACTAAGCCACCCAGGCACCCCTCAGATGCACTCTTTGAATGATTCTCTTCCAATCATGGCCATCTTCCTCCTACAGAAAACCTTTCTACGTCTCTCAGGTAGAAACAAGATCATCCAGTTCCCACCAGGCCTTGCATAGATGAAAAAGCAGAAGCCCGGAGAGATGTGATCACTAATAGTTTCTCAGTCAGCAATAGTTGTAGGCATTGGGCACTACACTTTGAGCCAGCACTGTCCAAAAAAATACAAAAGGGGTCACAAAGAGAACCGCATAGGTAATTTACATTTTTCTACTAACCATGGTTAAGAAGTGGTGAATTGGGGCACCTGGGTGGCTCAGTCGGTTAAGTGTCCGACTTTGGCTCAGGTCTTGATCTCACGGTTCGTGGGTTCGAGGCCCGCATGGGGGATATGTGCTGACACGTGGGTTATGTGCTGACAGCTCAGGACTGGAGCCTGCTTCCGATTCTGTGTCTCCCTCTCTCTCTGCCTCTCTACCGTATACATTCTCTCTCGCTCGCTCAAGAATACATAAATATTTAAAAAAATTAAAAAAAAGTGGTGAATTAATTTTATATTTTGTTTGACTCAATATATTCAAAATACAATTTCAACATGTAATCAACATGTCATAGAAATCCAGTGTGTATCTTACTTACATTTATGGCACATTTCAATTCAGACTAGCCGTACTTCAAGCTCTCAGCAGCCACATGTGGTTAGTGGGTATAGAATTGGATAGTGCATTTCTATGCCTCAGTTTCCTTATCTGTGAAACAAGGATAAAATTGGCTAGGTCACTGGAAGGAGAGCACCTGTGAAACACGCAGCATTCCGCTCTGCACATAGGGGGCGCCCAATAAATCTTGGTTCCTTCCGGTCTTTTCTCTCACCGCCCCGCCCCCTTCAAGGCTCCGCCCCCTTTCCCCGCCCCCTCCAGGCTCCGGGCGGAAGCAGTACCGTCGCAAATGCAGCGCGCTTTACGGTGGCGTTGCCTTTTACCGCAGTGTGGCCGGCTTGCGTGTCACTAGCACTTTTAGCTCATTGGCTCTGCGGCCCGCTCTCTGCGCTTTACGGCAGTGTGGCCGGAGCCTCTGCGGCGGGGGCCGCGGTTTGGGCGTGAGTGGAGGGAACCCCAGTAGCAGGTGTTGGCTGGGCCCGAAACCATGGACGTGGGTGAACTTCTGAGCTACCAGGTATGTAGGACGAGGAGGGCCCGCGGCCCGTCCCCTCACCCGACAGGGTTTCCGTGGTCAAGGGACCAGAGCCCCTGCATCTCACCTCCTCTCACCCCTGTCCCCGGCCCGGGTCCCCTCACTTCTCATGCCTCCGGCTCCTCTTTTTCACTTCACTCCCCCGAGACTTTCCTGGGCCCTTTCAGTTCATCCCTTCTTAGAGCCCAGCCCCTTTCTTCTCAACTCCAGTCTGGGCCTCTTCTCACCCACCCCTGCGCCGTGGCCTGGCTCCCTTCGACTCTTCTGAAGGCCCCGGACCATTTAACAACCATCTTCCTTCAACTCTCTCTTGTCCCCCAGTCATTGAGGTGGTGGTGGTGGTGGTGGTGGTGGGAGGGCCCCGGTCTTTCCTGCATCCGGCTTCTCCACTGACCAGCCATGTGGCTTTTGGACAAGTCATTTTGCCGTCTTTGAGCCTTAGTTTTTGTATATATAAAACGCACACGGCAGTAACTACCTGGTAGGGTTGTTTGAGGACTGCATTAACTATTGGATGTGAAAGCTGATTTTAAAGTGTAAAAGCTGTACCCATGTTAACTGCCGTTGTTGGGAGGTGTTTGGGATTCTAGCAAGGGATGGGACCCTAGGAATCTTCCTGTTTTCCCTGCTCAGGCGATTTGGTGGGAGACAGTGGCCCAGAGGGCAGAAAGGACTTTTCCAGAGTCATTCAAGAAGTAAGAGCTGGGATTAGAGCTGAGGTCTCCTGGCTCCCAGTTCAAAGGTTCCCCCCCCCCCCCCTTTGACTTCCTAAAGAGGCCTCTTGTAGTTGTCCATGTGGCTATTAAACACTTGAAACGGAGCTAGTATGAATTGGAAAGCACGCTAAGTGTAAAGTCACACTGAATTTTGAAGATTCATATGAGAAATAACATTTTAAAACTGATTCTGTGATCTTATTGATCAAACCAATTACCTTAATTATGGATTATGTTGATTAATCACATTATGGGTAATAGGCAAATTAAAATTATATTTAAAACAAAATGTTACCTGTTTCTGTTTATTTTTTAATGTAGTTGCTAGCCTTTTAGTGTGCTTATTAAAATTACATATATAATTGACCTTTATTTCCACTGGGCAGCTCTGTAGTAGAGTATAGGTGATTAAGAGCCATGAGTCTGGAGCTGCATGCATGTTCCTTGGAATCTCTGTTTTGCTATTAACCAGCTGCTGTAACCTTGAACAAAATACTTAATCTCTCTGTGCCTTGGTTTCCTTATTTGTAAATGGGGCAAAGATGGTACCTACCGCATAAGCCTGTTGTGCAGTGCTCAGGCCAATGCTTGTCAAAGTGTGAAGGTTCAGTAAGTGTTAGCAATTACATTCATGCCACTCCCTCAGCCAATATACAGAGCCTGGACCTTGAAGACTCTAGACATCGTAGAAAAGAACTCATAAGCAATGGGAGATAAATAGCCAAGAGATATGTCTTTTTAAGACAGTTATTGAACAAGAAAGAAGAAAGGAAATGAGTGGTGGTATGTAGTTGTAGAATGGCTAGTCCATTGACTCAGGATATTGAAGCTAGGAGAGGTTCATTCATTTGCCCAAAAGCATTTATTGAACACCTTCTGTATAAAGCACCTAATCCTCAGACTGTACAACCTTGAACGCAACAGACAAAGTTCTTGCTTTTGTGGAGCCTGTAGTCTGGTGGGGAAGTAGCAAGATAATGTGTAGACAAACAGATAGGTGCTTTGAAGGGTAAGCAGGGTATATGGTAGAACAGTTTGTTATGGTAGCTACTGGGCGCCCTTGACTACGCAACACTTGAAATGTGTCTGCTTGTTATTGAGATCTGCTTTATATGTAAAGTACACATTGGATTTCCAAGATTTAGTATGAAAACATAGTAATTTTTATATTGATTCCATGTTGAAATAATGCTTTAGATATAGAGTCTTAAAGAAAATATGTTATTAAATGTTACCTTATTGAAAACTTTTTAAATGTGATTACTAGAAAATTTAGAGTTATATATGTGGCTCATTTGTGGCTTTCAGTATATTTTTATTTGGCAGTGCTGCTAACTGCTGAAGAAAATAGCCCCTGGCCGTAGGAGACGGGACCTATGTGGTCTCTGAGGAACGGATATTAAAAGGGCGAAAGGTTGAGAAGGAGCCAATCATGTAAAAGGGTAGAATGATGGAGGCAGAAGGAAGAGCAGCTATGGGGACTGTAAGGTAGAAGCTGGTGTAGCCTGTTAGAATACCAGGAAGAGGATTGATGTAGCTGGAACACGATGAAACACGATGCGGGAGGAGAATGGTAGATGATGGGATACGAGATGTAGGCAGACGACAGACTATGTAGGCCTTCCTGGAGGCCGTGATAAGGAATTCGAGTTTTATTTGGAGAGATGTTACAGATAACCTAATGCAGCCCACTTGTTTAAGAGAGAAAGGGAGCCCCATTCTGGTAAAGCACTTCCCTGAGGTTGTGGGCTAGGGGAGAGGCATCTTGAAACCAGAATCCTGATCTTATTTTCAACCCTGTTCATTCCCCACAGGCACTGTTCATGCATGCACTTTCCCTTCTCTAAGATTGCTCTACACTCTTCTTGTTTCTAAAAGATGGTACAGTCTGGAATCTAGTCCATAATCAATCAAACGCACCCATCCTCTTGTGGAAATGTGTGAGGATCATTTGAATTAATGGATGCAAAAGCTCTTTGCAAACAGTAACATTTTATAGATATGAAAGATGCATTACTTACCTGCATGATCTCTCAAAGTCTTTATAACAACCCTGTGAAGAAGGTACTGTTTTTAACCCTTGCTGTACAGATGAGGGGACTGAGGAGTGAAAAAGCAGCTACCTCGTAGCTGAGGCTCCTAATAACTGTGTTGTACGGCTGCCTCCTCTGTGCCCAAGGCTGGGCTCAAGTGCTTCCTGATGACTTCTTACCTTTAATTCTCAACACACCCTTTGAGGGGAGTGTTATGCCTGTTTTATGGAAAAGAAAACTTGAGCTAGAGAGATCAGTTACGTGTTCAAGGACAGTCAGGAAGAGACGGAGCCAGAACTGGAACTGAATGAACATCCAATTCTAGTTTTCCATTTTGTTTTCAGATTTTTAAAAACTTTAAAAATTGAAGTATGGTATGCATATAGAAGAATGCAGTGTGGGAAAATTTAAGTGCTGTTGATTATAGTTATGATTTACAAAGTGGACTCAGTGTGACCACTGAAGTTTGTTTCTCAGGGACACATTGTGTGATTTGAACATTGCCCCACCCGTAGAGTTTGAATCAGTGTCTCCTGTGGGAACTTAGAATTCGCATTTCTTAAAAAAAAATTTTTTTTTAATGTTACTTATTTTTGAGAGAGAGACAGAGCATGAGCAGGGGAGGGGCAGAGAGAGAGGGAGACACAGAGTCCGAAGCAGGCTCCAGGCTTTGAGCTGTCAGCATAGAGCCAGACGCGGGGCTCGGATGCCTGAGCTGTGAGATCATGACTTGAGCCGAAGTCAGATACCCAACTGACTGAGCTACCCAGGCGCCCCAGAATTTGCATATCTATTTTTTTTTTAATGTTCTTTCATTTTTGAGAGGCAGAGACAGAGCGTGAGTGGGGGAGGAGCAGAGAGAGGGGAGACACAGAATTGGAAGCAGGCTCCAGCCTCTGAGCTGTCAGCACAGAGCCAGACGAGGGGCTTGAACCCACAAACTGCGAGATCATCACCTGAGCTGAAGTTGGATGCCCAACCGACTGAGCCACCCAGGCGCCCCAGAATTTGCATTTCTACCAAGATCCCAGGTGATGCTGAAGCAGAAGGTCCAGGGATTACATTTTCAAACCTCTCCCTGGTCTAGAATGATCTACATCCCTTTTAAAATTTTACCCAGCTGAGATTCTCCTCCTGCTCATAGCCGTTAGTTTGCAGATTTTTGAGCTTAAGTTATACTTACTCCCTGCCATCCAAGATACGGAGAGCAAATCACTTAATCTTTCTGGGCCTCAGTTTCCTCATGTGCCTAATGAAGGGATTAAGTGTGTCTCTGAGGTCCCTGCCAACTTTAAATTCTGTGATACTAATTATTTAGGCCAAGAGCTCTAGAGTTTCAAGGGATAAAAAGGCTTGATGTAGGAGAATGAATCAGGGCTGAAAATCTGGGAGATTTGAGTTTTAATCCTCCCTTTATCATTAGTTATCTGGGTGACACAGGACAAATCACTTCCCCTCTCTCTATATCACTTTTTTCTCTTTTTAAACCACCTGTAAAGTGAAGGACTTGAGCTATAAGAATTCTACTTGTTTCCTTTCCTGGAATTAAGCGATTAAGGTAAGTAAGGAAAATACGTAATGTCAAGAAATGTTTATTAAAAGTATTTTAATCTTTTTTTGGGTGCTTCCTGAATTTCATTTTTGGGGCAGCTTGGTGGGAAGATTCTAATTTTCTGCTGAGCTTGGTTCTGCTGGTAATAGAGCTAGGCAGTAAGTGCCTGAGTATATGCCTTATATCCTTGACATATGTTAACTATTCATTTAAGAAGACAGGAGAATTACAGTGTGGACAGGAGGTGGTGGAGGAAGTCTCACAGAGGAAGCCAGTTATGTTCCCAATATGGAAATGTACTTTTTTGATGCCTTCAGGCTTAGACATCTCATCAAGAAGTGTGCCCAGCAGTTCCTTGGCTGAGAAGTTTCCGCTGCATAGGCGCGTATATGAACTTCAGGGCATTCTCATTAATACTAATTCCACAGATGCCTGGGAAAAGTTCTTCCCTTCAAAGTTTTGCAGTAAAGGATTCACATTTAGGGCCACTTGGCTCAGTGGGAATGGCTTGCTTTGTGACTTGGGAAGTGTTCTCTTTGAGGCAGATTGGGGTCAGGGACCCTCGGTTTTAGCAGTACTGCGGACACCCACTCCCTTGTTACCTATCCGTAATATCATAGCATTTCCTTGGATTGTAGAAGCTTATGGGAATTCATAATCTTGCTCCTTTCCCCTTATTTC